GACATAATTATCCAAATCAATCTACATATTCAAAGCAATTCTTACAAAAATCTCGATGTCATTTTCTTGCAGAAATAGAAAAAAACAATTTTGAAATGCACATGAAATTTGAGAGAACCTCAAATACCCAAAACAATCTTGAAAAAGATAAACAAATATGAAGGATTCAAACTTCCTGATTTCCAAATATGCTAGTAAGTTACAGAAATCAAAACAGTATTATGTTAGCCATAAGGACAGTTTTATACACCAATGGAATGGAATACAGAAAAAAAAACTATGTAGATATAGGGTCAATTAATTTTTTATCAAAGTTCCAAGACCATTAAATAGGTCAAAGTTAACAATTTCAACAAATAGGTTTGAAAAAACTGCATGTCTATTTTCATAATATTGAGATTTCAGCCATATAGTATATATAAAAATAACTCAAAATTGATTGACAGCAGACCAAAGAGCTAAAACTATAAAATTTTTAAGAATTTATAGGGGAAATTCTCCATGACACTGTATTTTGCTATTCTTCCTTGGATATAAGACCAAAAGTACAGGGATCAAAAAGAAAAATAGATAAACTGGATTTTATCAAATTTAAAAATTTTTACATATCGAAGAATGTAAATTTTTACATATCAAGAGAATAAAATGAGCTAGCTGCAGTGGCAACACACATCTCATCCCAGGGACTTGGGAGGCTGAGGTAGGAGGATCTTAAGTTCAAAGCCAGCCTTAGCAACTTAGTGAGACCCTAGGCAATTTAGAAAGACCCTGTCTCAAAATAAAAATAAAGGGCTGGGGATGTGGTTTAGTAGTTAAGCATGCCTGGGTTTATCCCTGGTACCAAAACCTAAAGAGAGAGATACATAGAGACAGAGAGACATAGAGACTGACTCATAGAAGGATAAAAATGCTTACAGAGCATATATCTGATGAGGGATCACTTCCAGTACACATAAAAAAAAAAAAAAAACTCCTGCAACTTTAAAAAACAACACAATAAAAAACAATCCATTTTGAATTGTGCAAATAATATACATTTCTTAAAAATGATATAAGATAGATAACAAGCACATGAAAAGATGCTAAACATTGTTAGTCATCAGGGAAAGGCAAATTAAGATCAAAATGATACTGTGTGTTACACTAACAGGGATAATTATAACTAAAACAATGCAAAATAACTATTGTTGGTGACAACACAGAGAAATGGGGACCATCCAAAACTACTGGTGGGAATTTAAAATGGTTCAGCCACACTGGAAAACATTTTAGTCATTTTTAAATCAGTTAAACATAAAATTACTATACGATCTAGTAATTCTACAGTTAAAAACAGGTCTTACAAAATGATATGTTAATTACTATAGCAACAATATTTACAGTAGCCAAAAGTTAAAAACAATCCAAACGTCTACCAACTGTGTGAATCAAGAAACTCTGGTATTTCCAAATGATGCATTATTATTTTTAGTTATATATAACATCAGAATACATTTTGATATAATCATAGAAACATGGAATATAATTTCTCTGAGTCCCCAGCACTTCCCCTCCTTCTAACTCTAACTACTCCTCTCCCTATACCCTATTGATCTTTGTGTTAATTTTATAGCTTTTAAAAAATTAGATTATTGAATATATAAGCCTGTTCTAAAAAGTCAGAGGTCAAAAGTTTCTGTGATATGTAGAAGCAAACCCAAAATAAAGTGAGAAGGCAAGAAAGAATGAAAGAGAAAGGAAAAAAGGGAGAAGGGAATTTCATCAAAATAGCGAAATGGTCAAAAGATTAGATGAAGGGGACTGAGGAGGAGGAGGAAGGAAGGGAAAGAACAATGGAATGAATCTGACTGAACTTTCTTATGTACATCTGTGAATATACCACAGGGAATCCCAATCTCAAGTATATTAAAATAATGTATTAATACTTGGCTATAAATGTGAACAAAGTATTGATATATGCTGCAACACTGATGAACACTAAAACCATTATGCTAAACAAAATAATCCAGAAACAAAAGACCACACACTTCATGATTCAATTTATATGAAATATACAGAGTTGGTAAATCCATAGACAGAAATGGATTTCTGGTTGCCAGAGGCTATGGGAAGGAGGAATGGGAAATGACAACTTAATTGGTGAGATGTGGAGGGACAGAAATTCTCATACACTGCTATTGAGGAAGTCAAATGGTAAAGCCAGTTTTCCAAACAACTTGGCAGTTTCTAAGAAGCTAAAAATTTGGGAGGCAAATCAAGATATTAGCTAAGCTCTTATTCCAGTGATTATCTTTGAAGAAATAACAATATAAACAGCTATCTATACACCAACCTACCTTCACAAGAGCTAAGGGAGCCAGGTGAGAGAAAATAGTGCCTGTTTTTAATATGATAAGAAAAGAAACATTGAAGAAGGCACAAAAGAAAGAGTAACCTGCATCACTTCTCCCCCAACTTCAAGCAGTGTGTAGAGAGACACATCCAACTTGGGGAAAAGAAGAGAAATTGGGTGTCAACCTTAGAATTGAAATCCAGTACCAGGCCCACCAGAATGAAATCCACTGCCAGACAGAGACCTATAAACGTTTACCTCAGACGAATAACCACACACTGGGCTGCTGGAATTGTGTTATCCAGGTGGCCAAGGGAGATAGAGAAGCAAGACTATCCACTGGGGAGTTATGAAAGTTACTACATAACTTTTTCCTGGAGCTCAGTGCAAAGCATGCCATGGTGAAACTTGACACTAAAATCCCTATACTCATGCCAGAGCTCAAAGATGAAGCTTCTAGAACCGCACCAGCATCAGGTAGATGCAGGCTTGGAGCCATCCTGAGCCTCACACCCTATATTGAGACTTTATAAATCCTTGAAGCTATAAGCCTCAGCATCAAACAGCTTAGCATCAACCTTGGTGGACAAGAAACTATGTCAAATACCAGTCCTCCAAACTTGGGTAACACAGCTACTCCCTAACCAGTACTCAAAGACAGTACCTCTAGACCTGCTCTGGTAGTAGGCAGAAACATAAAACCCAATGGGATAGACTTATGTTATAGCCTACATTGCTGAGAGCTGTGGCATGGACCTGGATATACCCCTTAGACTGTGCAGGTCCTTATAGTTATGAATCACAGGTGCTAACAATTTCATTGTAAGCCATTGTGCCCAAGGGACTGTTTTTACAAACACTATCCCAACATTGGGCAGCATAGTGTAAATCAAAACTCCATTAAATGGGGATTGGAAAAGGGTAGGAAGCAAAGAATTTAGCCTTGGAACTCAGGGATGGGCTGATGAAAATGGGATGCATTCTAAAGCCCCTATCCTCAGGCCAGTCTGCACAGAGCCATAGGAACAGCCCTGGTGACAGGCAGAGAAACACAACTGCAATCTATCAGTCTTATATTCCAGCCAGCACCACCTGTGGTGAGTTTCAGCATTCAAGAACCATGAGTCCACCTCAACAGTAAGCAGACACAGAAGACACAGAGAGCTTAAAAATGTATCCTGTTGGTGTAGTTATATTAGATAAAATAGATTTTAAATCAAAATTAGTAAGAAGAAAAAAGGAAGGTCACTATAAAAATGATTAAGTGGTAAACTCAGCAAGGGGAATCAAAAATTCTGAATAACCACATGATCATCTCAATAGACATGGAAAGGGAATTTGATAAAATTACACACTGCTTAAACAAAATACTCTGTATGACTTACTTATTGTAGAAGTATACCTCAACATAATGAACATCATATGTAAAAACAGAAACTAACATCATAGTGGACAGTGAAAAAGCTGAAAGTTTGCTACCTAACATAAAGAACAAAGCAAGGAGGCACACTTTCACTACTTTTATTTGACATAGTAATGAAAATCCTAACCAGAGCAATTAGGCAAGAAAAAGAAATAACGGATATTCAAAAACAGGTAAGAGGAAGTCAAATTCTCACTGTTTACAGATGGTAATATGTTATATGCAGAAAAACCCAGATATTCCACCCCAAATTACTAGAACTAATACATGAATTCAGCAGATTCACTGGATAAAATTTCAATATACAAAAATAAGTAGTGTTGTTATACACCAATAGCAATTATCTGAAATAGAAATTAGGAAAGCGATTCCATTTATGGCAACTATACAGGAAGAAAATACCTCAGAATAAATTTAAAGAAGTGAAAATCTCTATAATGAAAATTATAAAACATTGATGAAAGAAACTGAAGAGAATAAATAAATGGAAATATATCCCATGTCTATTAACTGAAATCAACAATATTGTTAAGATGTCCACACCACTCATTTGATAGAATGCAATTCCTATCAATATTCAAAGATGTTTTTCACAAAATTAGAAAAAGTCCTAAATTTTTATGTAAACACAATACACCAGTATGTTCAAAGCAATCTCGAGCAAAAAGAACAGAATAGGAAGTATTATACTATGTGACTTCAAAATACATTCCAAAGTCATAGTAATTAAAATAGCATAGCTTTAATATAAAACAAACACATATAATGATGGAAAAGAATGGAGGAATGGGGAGAAATGGATCCATGAATGCTAAGTTTTAGGTAGATAAGAGTAAGAAATTCTGTTCTGCTATTACAAAGTGGGGTAAAATTAGATAATGGTAATGTAGTATATATTTCAACAAGCTAGAAGAAAGGATTTTCAAAGCTTTCTCCATAAAGAAAGGATTAATATTTGAAGAGATTGATATATTTAACCAGATATAAACATTATTCAATATGAACATGTATTGAAATAGTATATTACATCATTAATATATACAATTTTATGTGCATATATTATATACCAATGTATATAAGTATTTTATATATATATACACAAATATACATAAATTTTGTTCATATATAATCTTCATTTATATAATTATAAAAATATAAATAAAATAAAAATAAAATTTTAGTGCCCAAAACTCCATTGCTCTGATTGATAAAAGTAGAACTACTCTTCTGACCATGTTAAATTACCTGGGGAAGGCTTGTGACCAAAAATGCCATTGAAGAAAGCAGGCATACGAATGCTGCCACCAATATCAGAACCCATACCAATTACTGAACACGCAGCTGCCAGGGTGCATCCCTCACCACCTATAAAGAAATGAAAAAAAAAAAAAAAAACACCAGAATTCATCTTTTCAATTAAAGAAATAAGCTAGGTTACTATTTTCACAGGATATATTTTTAAGCTGTCTGTGTTGTCAGATTAAAAGTGTGTCACTTGTAGACAGCATATATATTCAGATCATGACTTTAATCCATTCTGCCAATCTATAATTTTGAAGAGATTAAAATACTTAAATTTAAAATACTCAAAATTAAAAACTTACTTTTGACATTGTTACATTTTTTAGTCTTATAGCTTTTCTGTCCTTCAATTACTCCACTACTACCTTCCATTGTATTTAGTTGATATTTTGTAATATTATGTTTTTCTTGTTATTTCCTTTTATGTATATTATATAGACATTTTCTTTGTAGGTTCCATGAGAATCACATAAACATTTAAAGTTATAAGAATTTATTTTAAATTTATACCAATTTATTTCAATTGTTTGCAAAACTCTACTCATTTACAGCTCCCTCCCACTGCTTTATGCAAACTATTTTTATTTATTGTGTAACCCATTAACATGAATTTATAATTTTGGTGCATTTTTCTTTAAAGTTTGTATATATTAAAAAACTTGTTGCCAATCAAATTTATACTAATATTGATTTTTACATTTGTCCACGTATTCACATTTATCAGAAAATTTATATTTTCATATGTCTTTGCAGTACTCTCTAGCATCCTTTAATTTCATATTAAAGGTCTTCTTTTATAATTTCTTATAGAAGACATCTAGTGATAACAAACTCCCTCAGGTTTTGTTTGCCTGTGAATGTCTCAATTTTTCCCTCATTTTTGAAGAAAGTTTTCCCAGATATAGAATTCTCAGTTTACAGTTTCTTTTTTTTTTCTTTCAGCACACCTATAATATCATCCCACTGCCTTCTTTTCTCCATATTTCTGCTTGGAAATCTCAGAATAATTTTATTGAGAAGCCCCTTGAACAAGGTAAGTCACTTTTCTCATTTTATTTTCACGATACTTTCTTTGTCATTGCTTTTCAATACATATGTTTTAGATGATAGGATTTTAATTGTAATCTCATTGAATCTGTATAGTGCTTTGGGTATTATGGTCATTTTGACAATATTAATTTTTCCTATCAAAGACAATGAGAGATCTCTCCATCTTCTAAGGTCTTCTTCAATTTCTTTCTTTAGTGTTCTGCAGTTTTTATTGTAGAGGTCTTTCACCTCTTTGTTAAATTGATTCTCAAGTATTTTTAGGCCATTGTGAATGGGGTAGTTTTCCTAATCTCTCTTTCAGATGATTCATCACTAATGTATAGAAATACATTTGATTTATGAGTATTGATTTTATATTCTACTATTTTGCTGAATTCATTTATTAGTTCTAGAAGTTTTCTGGTGGAGTTTTTTGGATCCTCTAAGTGTAAAATTATGTCATTAGCAAATAATAATGGTTTGAGTTCTTCTTGCTTTTCAACACTTTGATTATGTGTTTTAGTGAAGTTCTATCTGGACTTATTCTACTTTTAGTTAACATAAATTCCTGAATTTGCATTTGCTTTACTCCATTGTAGGAAAATTTGGGCCACTATTTGTTCAATAATTTTCTGTCCTTTTCCTTCTCAATTTATGGCTCCTCTAATGCATATATTGGTCCATTTCATGGTTTTCCATGAGTCTCTTAGTCTATGTTTACTTTTTTCACTCTTTTTGCTCCTTAGACTCAATGATTTTAAATGAACTATCCTCAATCTAACATATTTTATTCTGCTTGTTTGTTCTATTAAACTTTTCGTTAGTCAACTATCCATTGTGACAAAATGCCTGAGGTAATAAACATTTAAGGAAGAAAAATTTGTTTTGGCTCAGTTTCAGAGGCTTCTGTCAATAGTTGTGTTGCTCTGTTGTGTTGGGCCCAAAGTGAGGTAGTACATCATAGTGGGAATATGTGGCAGAGGAGGTGCTTATTTCATGGAAGCCAATAAGCAAAAATAGACAGAGAAAGTGGCCAAGATCCCAATAACCCCTTTAATGAAATATCTCCAATGACCTTGGTCCCACTTCTTAAAGGTTCCAATATCTCCCAACAGAGACATGGGCCATGGCTCAAGCCTTTAACATATAAGTTTTAGGGGGACATTTTAGATCAAAACTACAGAAAACTCCTGTTATAAAATTTTCAGTTACTGTATTTTTGAATTCCAGAATTTTAGCCCACTTCCTTTCAGAAATATTATTTTTATTCATATACTTTATTGGTCCACATAATTTTTCTGATTCATATAATTTAGATTTTTGCCAATGTCTTCCTTTTGTTTTGTAGAACCCTTAAGACAGATGTTTTTTTGTTGTATAAGTACAATGCCTGTGTTCATCGATGGTTTATATCATTCATATCCTTTATTTGAATGGATCACATTTTCTATGTGTATGCTTGTGTTTTGTTGTTGCTATTGTTGTCATTGTTGTTTCTGTTGAATCTGGACATTTGTAAAAACAGCCATATCTCACAGTCTTTGTAGACTGTTTCTATGTCAGAGAAACCTTTATTTATTAGCAGTACAGATTCTTAGCCTTGAAACCAGCCTGAGATGAAAACATAAAGTCCTTTAAGGTCTTTTCTGAGAATGAGTATTGTCTGGGTCTCTGGGTTTGTGTTTTTTATTCAATTTCCTTTATAAAAGAGTGCTTTTAAATATCTTAATGTCCTAAAGAATCTTATCTTAATTCAGTTTTTTCTTGGGTCCTTGCATGTTCAATTGTATTCCTGTATACATAAAGTCTTTCCCCAGGTGTCTGTGGGTCTGTGTACACTGGCAACATTGAAGACTAGTGCCCATCTTTGCAGCTTTCACTGACATGAAATCCAAGCTACACTGATATTCTCCACTTGAGCTCCAAGTTAAAGAAAACAGAAACCAGTCCTTCACATAGCCCTCAGGCAATTTAAAATATTGAAATTAAGTTCTGTTTTGTTTCCTCTATATCCAGGGAGGGAATTGGGAATTAGGCTTTTGTTTTCCTGACTATCACACTATATCAGAGATGGGGTAGATCATTGTTAAGCAAGTATTCAGTGAGTTTTCCTACCACTTTGAATATGGATTTTTTTTCTTGATTATATGTTTTCTTGGTGGCTGTGGTTTTTTCACTATTTTCCAGAACACTTGCATGTCAATTAGCTATCACTACATGTTCTTTTTAATGATTTCATAAGTGTAATAAAGGCCCCATAGCTTTCCAATCTGATATACTGCTGAAAAAAACACTCTCACAATTTTTGATAAGTTGCATTTTCATTACCATTTAGTTTGAAATATTTTTAAATCTCTCTTATGACTTTTTCTTTAATCCGTTTATTATTTTGAAGTGGGCTATTCAATTTCCATATACTCTGAGTATTTTCTAGCTATCTTCCTGTAATTGATTTCTAATTTAATTTCCTTGTGGTTTGAGGCCGTGTAGTAATATTTCCATTCTTTAAAATTTAAGGCTGGGGCTGGGGCTCAGTGGTAGAGCACTCACCTGGAACACGTGAGGCACTGGATTCAATCTCAGCACCACATAAAATAAAATAAAATAAAGGTATTTTGTCCGTCTACAACTAAAAAATGCATATTTAAAAAATTTTGTTTAAGAATGCCTCATGGCCCAGAACATAGCCTATCTTGATGAATGATTTCCCATGAACTTCAGAATGAGTTTTCTACAGTTCTAGAATGAAGTGTTTTATAAATGTCAATTAGGTTCAGTTGTTGATGCTGTTTAAATTATGTCCTTATTAATTTTCTATTAATAAGACCTTTCAATTACTGATAGAGCTATTGTTGTCTATGGTGTTTATTTAAGTCTTCCCTGTTGTCTTTTGGTTTCACAAAATCCTCTTAAGTAACACCTATGATGCACATTTATTCCAGTTTATTTCTCTGAAGTACAAGACCCCTATTTATATGGCAGTGAGGTATTTGAGGGAAGAAACAAGATATAATCTATAGACGTATGTTTAGATTTTAGTCATTTAGTTAGGTTCTTCCTCTGGCCTGAGACCCTAACAACATGTGCTTCTCACATTTGTTTTGTTTTTCCACTTAGATGGGAGAAGGAGCTAGAGGGGACTAGACATGAGTATTTCTTTTCCCCAATTTGTCAATTATCTCTGGCAATACCACAGTCAGTTTGGTTCTAATAAAATAGTTTCTCAGTGGGCATTACTTGTTAGAAGAATGAGAAAACTTTGGAAGTATTTCAAAGAGGGTACTCCCCCCTACCCCTACCACAAATATGAGGGAATTTTTCTCTAATATTCACTGTAAGAACATGTTAGAGCTCCTGGAGTTAAAACTCATGAAAGTGTGGGACTTGTAAGACTGCATCCACCTGGAAATTTAAACCCTCAAACTTCACACTGAACCTCAGCAAGCCGTCAATTGTAGTTTAAGTGTTCCCTATTCTGTGCATCCTTTGTTTTACACTTTCTAGGTTTTTACTTTACTAAGTTTTGGTAATCTCTCTATGCTTGTCTTTCTCCTCAATTTGGGGGCAGCACTATGCCCTATGACTTTAGTGTTCTTGCCAACATAAAAATGTTGTCAATATTCTGATTGTTCCAGTTTTTCTTACCATGTGGATGGAAGTAATAACTTTCAAGCTCTTTGTATGCCATAATTGAAACCTGTAGTCACAATGTTTTTAGTCATCACAATAACTTTACAGGGCAGTTTTTATTATTATGGCAAATTTACAGTCTGAGGAAACTGAATCCTGAGCATCTACTTTATGTGACCAAGATCAAATAACAAAGAAATTTCAAAAATCTGTTTGACTTTAGCAACCAAAACCTTCAACGCCTTATATTAGTAACCCACATACACATGCTTGATGTTGTATATTCTAGTGTTCATTATACTCTTGTTTTCTTTTTAAATAACTTGTAGCTCATTCTGATTTGCCTTTGATGGATACTTTTCTTCTCACCTTCAAATTACTGAAGTTGACTAATCCTCTGTCATAGGACCTGATTATTTTCCATCAATATATGGATTTTGTATAAACTTTTAAATTTACAGATAAGATACTTATCATAATTATGCTTATACTTTATAAATAATTATTAATAGTCCATATCTTTACTCTGACTCATAAAAAATGTTCAATTGGCCACCTGATACCTTCACTGTATGTCTTAAAAACACTCTAATCATAATATGTCCAAAATGTCATTCCTAAATCATGCTAAACACCCATGTTTCCCCTATCCAATTTCCTCATTCTGAATATAATCTGTTGCTATCACTCAAGTCAGAAGTCTTGAGTTATTTTTCACTATTATTTTTACTTTTATATCCACATATTCATATTTAATCTATGAATAGATCATATATATCTACCTCTGAAATGTCTCTTGCATACCATCTGCTTTCTTCATCTTGAGGAGCACTATCAATTACCTCTTGTCCTACCAAAATAGACTTCCCACTTCTCTATTTACTATTTTCTTTGCTTCTCTACATAGTCTACATTAATCTACCTTTCCTATTTCACTTCTAGCTCCTCTGTTTTAATGAACTACACTGGCTTTCTTTCAGTTCACTGAACACTCTAAGCATTAAGCCACTTAGAGACATTTGTACTTTCTGTTACCTCTACTTACATTGTTCCTTGGCTCACCTACTTCTTCTCCTAATAAGTCACCAAATCTCTCTAATCAAATTAGTTTAAACATAAATATTAATTCCTCAGAGAAGTTTTCTATGAACACATCTTCTATATTCACAGTTTCTCTTACAAAGTCATTAATACTCAATATTCTTACACTATTTTATCACCTTTGTCTCCATAAGGAATAGGCAATTAGTTAAAGCATCTACATTAACTCATATTCTCTTCTTTTTCCCATCATACATAAATACACACACACACACACACACACATGCACACGAAGTAACAATATGAATGTTCATTGTCACAATGGTCCTCAGTGATCTGTTTCATAGTCACATTCCACAACTTTCTTTACCATAAATACTGACCATTGCTTTCTCAAAGTTTTGCGCAATATTGTATCTACTCCTCATAAGGATTCCTTAACTAATATATCTAACTCACCAGAACTTCCACCTACAATATGCTGTAAATCATATGGGTTGTTGGATCGGCCATAGATCTTGTTACTGGATTCATACCACATGCACAATTCACTACAGTTGGTTATGCCAATGGGAATGGCACCTGCTTTCTTCAGTAATGCTACCACAGTGGCATCTGTTTTTGAAATAGCATCACGACGGTTCACAAGGCCAGAAGAATTGGGCATTCCTATAACATCCATAGAAAAGAAAGTTAAAAAGAGTGACTGCTTGTTGAGAATCTACAAAAAACTAACCTGCTGTATAAGGTAATTTTCTTAGTACCGAAGTGTGGTATGACATTTTGAAAAGTACACAGGTTTTGGAGTCAGAACAGTTCAAATTTGAACTCTATACCAAACCAACTTTTCAAACTCTGGATAAGTCACTTAACTTCTCTAACTTTTAGTTTGTATGGAGATTAAATAAGAGAATAAATACCCAAACATTTAATAAATAAAAGTGGAATATAAATTTCACCATCTAACAACCCAAACAGGTAAGTCCATTTATTGCTCACCTTAGAGATGAATATATTTAGAAAAGTAGAATGATTGCATCAAGATCATACAGAAACATAAGACGGATATCAGGAAAGAATCAAGGTATACAGGAAATTTGGTATAAAATAGAAGTGGAGTCGGGCTGGTGGCTTTAATCCCATTTGTCCTGGAGGCTGAGACAGGAGGATTCCAAGTTCAAGGCCAGCCTCAGCAATTTAGCAAGGCCTTAAGCAAGTTAGTTAGACACTGCCTCAAAACAAAACAAACAAACAAACAAAAAAAAAGGACTGGGAATATGCACAGTAGTAAAGCACCTCTGGTGCTTTAATAATAAAAGTAAATAGAAATGGTGCTGAGATCAATAAGGAAATAATAACATTAATGGTTATGCTAGCTTTTAATATGAAAATATATCCATATATTATACCATAAACAAAACAGAATATAGAAATACTAACCACTTAAGTGTGAAAAAATAAAGCTTAAAGATTTATAACACATAAGTTGCAGATCAAAAATGATTGATTCCTCTCACCTATATAAAAAAAGTTTAGCCTAAATATGAAGATAAGGAGAAAACAGAAAATCTCAAACTAGGAACATTTTATAAGAAAACTGCCAAGTACTCTTCAAAAAATGTCATGAAGTACAGAGGAAAAAATGAAAAAAAAAGTTTCAAAATAAAGAACAAGAGACCTAGCACATGGATTCAATTTGTGATAGTATTATAGAGAAAGAGAAAGAAAACTATGACAAACATTATAGCAACAATTAGTGAATTTGCAATATTGATTGCAGATTGGATAACAATATTCTTTCAATGTTAAAAGTTCTGAATTTGATAACTATACTGTAACTATGTAGGAGTGCTTTCTTTTTATTAAGAAATACAATGATGTGTTTTAAAGTAAATATGTGCAATATTAACGTTAATATGTGCAATATATCCTTAAATGGTTCATAAAATAGGGAGAAGGAGAGAAGAAAGGACAGAAAGAGTGTGATAGAAAAATAGATGGGAGAGGAAGAGGAAAAGGAAGAAAGGAAAAGGAAATGAGAGAATAAGAGGAGACAAAGAGAAATTAAACAAAGATGCAAAAAGTGTTAATAATCAGTGACTATAAATAAAGGGTACATTTGAGTTGTTTGTGCTATTCTTGTAACATTTGCACATGTTTGAAATTATTCACATACAAAAACTTTAAAACAAATTTGTTCAAGATCACACAGCAAAAAAGAGAGAGCTAAGATTTAATTATGGATCCAAAGACTTTAACCTCTGTATTTCTACTGTACTCTCATTAAATTACCATTGAAGTAAAGATTACAGTTTTAGGATAATGCTTTAACTTCTTTATTTACTTTAATTTTTAAGAATATATTTGAACATGCCTGTTCTTTGTGTCCTTGCTGTACCTGTCAATTAGTTCAGCATTTCTATTGTAATTAAACAAATCCTGATTTTACTGGATATGTTCAATTTAGTCATAATATATAATCCCTTTTAGATGTTGCTAGCTTTATTTTTTAAAATATATTTTTGCTGAGGAATTATTTACACCAATATTCAGGGGGATAATTTGTATATAATTTTCTTTTATTGTGATGTCTTCCTTCTGGTTTGTTATAAGGCTGACACTGGCCTCAAGTAATTAGTCACGAAGGTGTTTCCTCCTCCTATTTTATAGAAGAGTTTTGGAAGGATTGGTATTATTTCTTTTTAAATTTTTAAATTCTAATTTGTTACATATGACAGCAAAATGCACTACAATTCATATTACACATATAAAGCACAACTTATCATGTCTCTGGTTGTATACAAAGTATACATTCGTGTCTTCATACATGTACTTACGGTAATGATGTCATCTCATTCCACCAACATTTCTAACCCCATGCCCCCTCCCTTGCCCTTCCACCCTTTTGACCTATCTAGAGTTCACTTAATCATCCCATACACCCGCTCCCTACCCACTATGAATCAGCTTCCTTATATCAGAGAAAAATATTCGGCCTTCAGTTTATGGGAATTGACTTACTTCGCTTAGCATAATATTCTCCAATTCCATGCAGTTACCTGCAGATGTAATGATTTTATTCTCTGTTATTGCTGAGTAATATCCCATTGTGTGTATATACACATTTTCTTTATCCATTCATTTACTGAAGGGCATCTGGGTTGATTCCACAGTTTAGCTATTGTGAATTGTGCTGCTATAAACATCGATGTGGCTGTGTCCCTGTAGTATGCTGTTTTTAAGTATTTTGGGTATAGACCAAAGAGTGAGATAGCTGGGTCAAAAGGTGGATCCATTCCCAGTTTTCCCAGGAATCTCCATACTGGCTTTCCATATTGGTTGCACCAACATGCAGTCCCATCAGCAATGTATGAGTGTGCCTTTTTCCCCACATCCTTGCCACTACTTACTGTCATTTATATTAATAGCTGCCATTCTGACTGGAGTGAGATGAAATCTTAGAGTAGTTTTGACTTGCATTACTCTAATTGCTAGAGATGTTGAACATTTTTCATATATTTGTTGACTGATTGTGTGTCCTCTTCTGAGAAGTGACTGTTCAGTTCTTTGGCCCATTTATGAGGTTATTTGTTTGTTTGTTTGTTTTTGGTGTTTGGCTTTTTGAGTTCTTTATATACTGATGTGCAAGTGGTAAAAATTTGCTCCCAAGCTGTAGGCTCTCTATTCACCTGATTGTTTCTTTTGCTGAGAAGAAGCTTTTTAGTTTGAGTTCATCTAATTTATTGATTATTGATTTTAATTTTTGTGTTATAGGAGTCTTATTAAGTAAGTTGGGGCCTAATCTCACATGATGGAGACTAGAGTCTACTTTTTCTTCTATTAGACACAGAGTCCCTGGTTTAATTCCTAGGTCCTTGATCCACTTTGAGTTGAGTTTTGTGCATGGTGAGAGATAGGGTTTAATTTCATTCTGTTGCACGTGGAGCTCCAGTTTTTCTAGCATCATTTGTTGAAGAGGCTATCTTTCTCAAATGTATATTTTTGACACCTTTGTCTAATATAAGATAACTGTAATTATGTGGGTTAGTCTCTGTGCCCTCTATTCTGTTCATTGGTCTACTAGTCTGTTTTGGTGTTAATACCATGCTGTTTTTGTTACTATTGCTCTCTAGTATAGTTTGAAGTCTGGTATAGTGATGCCACCTTCTTCACACTTCTTGCTAAGCATTGCTTTACCTATGCTGGGTTTCTAATTTCTCCAGATGAATTTCATGACTGATTTTTCTATTTCTATGAGGAATGTCATTGTGATTTTGATTGGAATTGCATTAAATCTGTACAGTGCTTTTGGTAGTATGGTCATTTTGATAATATTAATTCTGCCTATCCAAGAGCAATGTAGATCTTTCCATCTTCTAAGGTCTTCTTGATTTCTTTCTTTAGGGTTCTGTAGTTGTCATTGTATAGATCTTTCACCTCTTTCATTACGTCGATTCCCAAGTATCTTATTTTTTTTTAGGTTGTTGTAAATGGGGTAGTTTTCCTCATTTCTTTCTCAGAAGTTTTGTCACTAATATATAGCCTTTGAGTTATGAGTGTTGATTTTATATCCTCTTACTTTGCTGAATTCATTTATGAGTTCTAAAAGTTTTCTGATGGAGCTTTTTGGGTCTTCTAGATATAGAATCATATTGTCAGCAAATAATGCTAATTTAAGTTCTTCTTTTCCTGTACACATCCTTTAATTTCTTTTTTCTGTCTAATTGCTCTGGCCAGTGTTTCAAGAACTATGTTAAATAGAAGTGGTGAAAGAGGGTGTCCCTGTCTTGTTTCAGTTTTTACAGGGAATGCCTTTAATATTTCTCCATTTTGAATAATGTTGGCCTGAGGCTTAGTGTAGATAGCTTTTATGATGTTGAAATATGTTCCTGTTATCCCTAGTTTTTATAGTGTTTTGAACATGAAGGGGTGCTGTATTTTGTCAAATGCTCTTTATACATCTACTGAGATGATCATATGACTCTTATCATTAAGTCTATTGATGTGATGAATTACATTTATTGACTTCTGTATGTTGAACCAACCTTGCATCCCTGGGATGAATCCCACTTGATCATGGTTCACGATCTTTTTGATATGTTTTTTGTATTCAATTTGCCAGAATTTTATTGAGAATTTTTTTTTAATTTTTTTTTTATTGGTTGTTCAAAACATTATAAAGCTCTTGACATATCATATTTCATACATTAGATTCAAGTTGGTTATGAACTCCCAGTTTTACCCCAAATACAGATTGCAGAATCACATCGATTACACATCCACATTTTTACATAATGCCCTATTAGTAACTGTTGTATTCTGCTACCTTTCCTATCCTCTACCATCCCCACTCCCTCCCTCCCATCTTCTCTCTCTACCCCATCCACTGTAATTCATATCTCTCCTTGTTTATTTTCCCATTCCCCTCACAACCTCTTATATGTAATTTTGTATAACAATGAGGGTCTCCCTCCATTACCATGCAATTTCCCTTTTCTCTCCCTTTCCATCCCACCTCATGTATCTGTTTAATGTTAATCTTTTCTTCCTGCTCTTCCTCCCTGCTCTGTTCTTAGTTGCTCTCATTATATCAAAGAAGACATTTGGTATTTGTTTTTTAGGGATTGGCTAGCTTCACTAAGCATAATCTGCTCTAGTGCCATCCATTT